AATAGGGATAGAGTGTCAAAGTGTTGTCCCTTGAGTGTCCCTGAAGACCTGGAGTTCAAAATGATAATTGCAGTTACACACTTTGTTTTGACATTTATGCTACCATCCCTGTTGTCTACCTCTTGTTGGCGTCTATGCATGTTCTTTCTACAGATGCTACGCCGAAACGTGGTTTTGTCTGAAACAGAAACGAGATGATGAAGTTGCCAGGCAAATATAAAGCGCATACGTGACACAAGTGTATGCCCATCTAGAGGCGGCTAATTTCCTTGTGCTGAAAAATTGGATGCCTTCCAAAGAAAATTCAGAAGAGAGTTCTAAAAGGTCCGCCCACCCATGTAGATGGAACCCAAATTAACAACAGCGTCATGAGCAAAGTCACAAACTATGGAGTTCAAACTCGAAAAATCTCGGCATGTTGCAAAAGACAAAAGATGAAATTACTAGGATGCATCCTTAGGTCTGGCAGGTATGACCCGCTAAGACAATTTTCATTCTACTTTGGAACCACTTCACCGCGGATAAAATTACTACAGAAGAGTAGGCAAGCCAAGAGCTGACTGGCTTCTAGAAACAACGAAAGATGCCTTGAAAGCATGCGGAAAGCCACCAACAAACATACCATCAGATCTTGACTTACCTTCCTACGAAAACACCGCAAAGAACCGTCACCATCGCCAAAACACACGCCATGAAGAAGTCGCCGCACAGAGGACTGGACAATACGTCCAAGTCAGCCTGCGGGCTTACAAAGTAAACACAAAGTAGGTCACTGGTTTGCCACGAGTCTCTGATTACATGCCTCGTGCCGCGCTCCCTATCTTCGGGTTTGTCGCTGAGTGAGTGAGCCAGTGAGTGTGTGAGTCAGTGAGCGAGTGAGTGGGTGAGTGACTGGGTTCCTGGTCATATTTGGCTCTCGCCGATTGACGGTCCAAAACCAAAATCTCCGCAATCATTATCATCAAGGGTTAGTTATTCCATAAATGAGCTTTGATATCAACTGGCCAGTCAATAAAAACATTAGGTCACTACATTCCCAATAGAGCTACTAGAATCAAGATCTTAAATAGTTGGCCTTTCAATCAGATACATATGAACGAAATTTAATGGTTTTGTTCGTTGGGCTAGAATATTAGTCATATTCTATCATATCTGTTCTTTCCAATCGACGATTCAAAGTCAGATTCAGCGTAAATGCTATTTTCAGAGGCCAGTTATTCCGTTTCTTGAGTAATGAAAATGGCTGGCCTTGAACTGACATATACTTTAAGTCCTCTGCGATAAACGCGTTTGGAGCTCAGGTACTTTATGAGCCAATGACATCATAAATGAGTACTGAATTTAGGGCGAATTCCACAAGTTTCTTATTTTGCATGGCCTCTATCCAATCATTCTCCGAGTTTGAATTCTGCTCACTTCGATAACCTAGGAGAAGAAAGGTTGAATACGAAAGCCCCAACAAGTCTAAAGTGCGCCCTGTCCCCAGCGAGAACACGTGACACTTGCTACCGAACTAGACAGTTGGACTCGGAAATCCCTCGGGAAAGTTGAGGGAGCGGTCGGGCGGAGCCCAAGAAGGTTTCAAGTTCAACTCTTGGCTGAAATGATTACTTCGCCAACGCTAACCATGTAAGCATGTGTGCTGTTTTGATCCGCATAATCGTTATACATTTTTTAGATGAGCACGTTAAGCTTGGCAGGGAACTACGGTCAAGAGTTTAGTTCTACTTACTACAACCGGAATGTCAGATAGTGCCTGTGAGCACACATGCATAGCCGTAGCCTTGGCATAACTGGATACTAGATGTAGTATGTGATTCCTGGAAACGTTTTGCGGGAATCTACAATCTTCAATCTTAATCCGGGGGGAGATTAGATCTACCCTTGATCTAGTCTCCGGAATCAAGAACCCTTCTTGCAGAACTCACTATGGTTCGGTTTTCTGCATGGAATGTTGAAACCCGTCCTGAGGCCTTAGATTGTCGAAGCCCTATACTCTTAAGCCCCTAAACTCTCCAAGGTACCGTTAACCCACACCCTAGGCCCACACAAGAGGCCAAAATAAGCAGATAACTGCGGTTATGCAAAACCATAGGTGTATATATGCGTGGTGTAGAGTACCCTAATGACTGTAAATCCTGCAGTTTATATATATATATATATGTACATACATACGCACATACATACATACATACATACACACATATATACATATACATAATATTATATGGAGTACCCTCATATACACTGCTTTCAATGCGTGCACCCGAAGGTGGAGGCAGTGCGCAGCCACCGCGACCTCTGCCCTGGCGAGGAGACGGCCCTCTTCTCCCGCCATCTGAGCCAAGTTTCAGGATCTCAAACGCCCAGTTACCCAGGACATGGTGTTGTCTCAGCTACTTCAGGCTTAAGCGAATGAGACAGTCGAGTTTCAGGAATGTAGGGATGGTTGACTGAGGTTCTTGCGGGCCTTGCATTCCAAGTACGCAGACTCCAGTTGAGAAGCTCGCGTTTCAATTTTCGACGTTGGCACCGGATCACCACCAATCCTTACAATCCCTAAGCCTCCTAAACCCTCGACACACGAAACACCTACACAGCAAACCGCAGAAACACCTCAAAAAGACCTGCAACTACACTCCAGACACCATCAAACTGTCGCTCTAAACACCCCTATACAAACCCCAAGCGAACAAAGGGAGGCTAAACCCTAAACCGTGGCCCCACTTCATCATCCCATGCCAGGCCTTACGCCGGGCACGCAGCTCAAGCCCCACTGTGGCCCCAGCAACTTGCACCTGACCTGCCACCTGGGACTCAAGGCCTGTAGGGTTTCGGTTGAGGGTTTGAGGGTCTATCCATAGCCCCCTAAACAGCTCATGGCAGACAACAGCCCCTGAATGCCCTAAACCCTAAATCGGTCTGGAGGTGCCATCGGGTTGCTCCATCCGCGTGGGCCATGAGTGGCGATCCTGGGAGGAGGGCACCGCCCCAAGTGGGTTGCCAACAGCTTCCGGGGGTGGACGCTTCAGCTTCGAGCTGTTAAGCTAGCAGCGACACGGCACCAGCGACATTGATATTTTTATTATTGTATTTTTACTATCATCATCATTATTATTGTTATTGCTATTGCTATTGCTATTGCTATTGCTATTGCTATTGCTATTCTTATTCTTATTCTTATTCTTATTCTTATTCTTATTCTTATTCTTATTCTTATTCTTATTCTTATTCTTATTGCTATTGTTCTTGTTCTTGTCTTTATTGATATGATTCGTATTATTAATATTGTCAATATTATTAGTATTTGTAATATTACTGCTAATGGTGCCCTCAAGCTTAGACATGCCAGGTGGCAGGTGGGACATTGCTTGAGACTCGATAGAGTTCGATAGCAAGTACGCAGAAGACAACGCAAACACGCTGCACAATGCGGCTTTCTCCTGCAGAGCGCTGTGCGGTCAGGCAAATGCCTGGTCTTTGACGATTCCTTCGAGCACGAGGATGCTGCGTTCGGGGAAAGGATGGAAGGGTTGTGAAACCGGGCTTAGCCTTGGTATTAATCAGAGGACCCTGACCCACCCTTTCGAGTCGAAAAGCTGCTTCGCAAAAGCGCAGTCAGAAGGTCTGCCACGGCGGAGTCGCCAACCGACTTGCCAGGGTCCCAGCTTTGGATGGCAGAAAAGGTCCCGGATTGCTCCCCACCGTCAGTTCCCTGAAAGCCTTCTTGCACATGCGGCAGCTGGCCTCATGATACCTCATGAGGTATGGTTAGAATAGGTTTTGGGGGGTGATAAGAGTATCGTTATCTAGGGAACATAGGGGAATACTGCTAGCGGTTAGTCCGACCCCTACATGAACACAGATGTACGCCAGTTTAGGTGCTCTTGGTTCGCTTCTGGCACCCGGACATCTGCCCTCAACACCGAGAAGCCTTGCTGGCGGCGAAGACGAAGCTGAGAAAACTCAAGGAGACGATCCGGTGCGGGAAGGGCTTATGCTGAGGACCAAGTCAGTTCAGGGTTTAGGGTTTAGGGTTTAGGGTTTGGGGTTTGGGGTTTGGGGTTTAGGTTTAGGGCATAGACAGGATAGACATACGAAGATGGGAGAACAGAAAGGTCGAATGGTATTGATCCCTTGCAAAAAAGGCGGTCAGAGTGATCGAAGGTTGAATGCCATGCCGGGGTTGTTCTGTCATTCACGGGTTTCTACCACCCTAAACCCTAAACCCTAAACCTCACAGGGGGACTAGTGAGTAGGAATCAAGGGCGAGCTCGGGAATCTGTCGCTCTGAACATGGCAAGGCCTCCTGTCCTGAAGCCATTCAGCATCTCCACTGTCCCTCAGCTGACCCCTCAAGGGCCTAGGGCTTAGGGTTTAAGGGCTGCCTGAAGCAAAACCCTGACTGTGAATAACGCCCCTTAAAGCACGACGTCCTAAGCTCCCAAGCCTCCCTCTGCTCCTCAGGACTGGACGCTGCGCTGAAAAAAGTCCTCTGGAAGGGACCTGGGTTGGGCAGCTGTCCACTCCTTGGGGACGACATAACCCTTTTAGGGCTCATATGACCTTAACAGGAATTACAGTAGCTATGGGGTATAGGACCCCAATTGTTGGGTTCATGTGGTCCCCAAGCTGGAGGGTATACGGCAGAGGGACTTATCAGGCATGGAGAGTTCAGTCGCTACTTGGCCCAGTGAGTATCCAGCACGGGCCCTATACCCTTAACATCCAACATTTCTTAAACGCAGTCGCTCGCATTCCAACTGCCCTCCCTCCCCGAGAAGTCGAGGCAGGTCCACTTGCACGCTTGAAGGTGCCGTAGATTAGACTTCAAAAGGAAGCACCATGTCACTCGATCGGGGCCGGAGGGTGGTAGGAACGCGGTGCATGTTCCTCACAGCTTCACACGCTTATGGGTACGAGCGGAAGCGTCAACCACCTTAAGAAAGTTCCATACTCCTGCCCTGTAACAGGTCCCTCCCTTTCATCTTTTATGTTAGGCCCGACGACTGGCAGCTTATACCGGACAGCTTTGTGCCCATCCCGAACTTCCCAGAGGTGGAGGCAGATGCAAGCGACTTTGGGAACGGGTTGATATAGGGGTCGGAATAATTTCTCATGATACTCCCTTATGGTGAAGCTCACTTGTGTCAGCGGCCTTTATAGCAGGCGCGGCATCTAGTCCATTCATGGTGTAGCGGGGATTGTACAAGGTCTGACAAGGTCTGACATGTGGACGCGCTCTCTGAGATGCCCTAAGGCATTTCGGCAGCAAAAACCTCTTCGTCATTGCGCAGCGTAGCAAAACAGAGCATTCCTCCTACATCGCATTCCCAAGCGTGTAAGATCGGATGACTTTAGAAGGCATTGGGCAGGAAACATGGTGCAGGAAGGAATGGGCCGGTCCACATATACGAAACCTGGGAAATTTCAGGAAAAACACCGCTTTGCTTAGTTGCTGCATCGACAAAGAGGCGATGCAGACAAAGCTTCTGGAACTCCAAGAGCATGCTCTCTGAGTCTCTACCTAAACCCTGTAGCGGACAGTCTGTATGCATCTTGTAGAACAAGTGAAGAACAAGTGAAGAATTCTGGTGTAGACTTCATAAAGCCTTAGATCCATCTTTTCCCCGTAGACAGGACCTTGGAGTTCTTCTGTGCTGGCATGAAGCACCGCCCTTCCTGCAGCCTGTCTTCGTGCGCAAGCCCGTGTGTCTCCGCCTGCAGCTAGCCGACGTTTCACCGTGATGGAGCTTCTGGAGCCCAAATCCCTAAACCCTGAACCCTGCGCCCTGAAACTAAACCCTAAAACCCTAAAACCCTAAAATCCTAAACCCTGAACCCTAAAACCTACCCCCCCTCAGCCCTCAACCGCACCAGAAGAGGCCCAGGTAAGCGCCACAGCCTTCTGCCCCATTCAGGGTCCCAGCCAAGGTATGCGCTGCGCTTGTTGCAAGACCTGCTGGGCACGATCCCATGCCGCCGGAGCCTTGTTGGGAGTTTGCCGCAGGGAGGCACCTTGGGAGTCCACTCATGTGTTTAGGGTTTAGGGTTTAGGGTTTAGGGTTTAGGGTTTAGGGTTTAGGGTTTAGGGAGGGATTTATAGTAGCAAGCACACGAAGAACAATGCAAGGATTCTTGATCACATTGAGAATAATAACAAGAACCGCAAGTTTCAGGAGCAATAACACAGTGAAAAGAGCAACGACCTAGTAACAAGAATTACAAGAGCAGGGCAGCTGGCGGTATTCGGAGTTGTCGCGGGAGCAGTGCCAGCGGTAGTGGCAGTTGCCGCCGTCCTCGTCTTTGCTCTGTAGTGGCAGTAGCAAGAATAGTGATCGGCTCACAACTCCGGCAAAGGCGATTGCTTGCTGAATTCAAGCAAGGAAGCAGTAGCAGTACTGGCACATGATGCGCTTCGCTGTTTCTGTGAGCATGTACTGAGAAGGCTTCAACCCGGCCCTGATGTGTGAGAACATTGTCAGCTTCCGCTTTCGGGCCACCACCCCAGTCCGGTGGCCCAGATACAGATACATTTTGAATCTCTGGAAATTTGGAATTTAGAGGCTGTCAAAGAAAGCTGGGTGGCGGGCTTCGGGCTACCTGAAGGTTCAGGGACAGGGTTACAAGGACGGGGCCCAGACTTCGAACCCGATCTAGGATGCTTAAGAACCCTCCTCACAAGTACCCATGAACCTCCAAGTGGGGCCTATAGGGCCTAGGGTGTCGGGTCGACGTTGATTTTGGGTAATCATACGTGTGATGGGGTTTGGCTGCAGCAGATGTAAGTTCTCAGACCTGAGTCTCACTGGTGTCTCAGCAGCCTCTTCCTTTTTGCTCGAGCCAACACTTCCCCGCGATTTAAAGCGGGAGCGGTCTCAAAGTGGGCCGACGCAAAATACCGACATCAAAGACTGAATAGCCTTATAGCTAGGCAACGCCGCCCTCCGAATACCTCCTTAACGCCTCCGTAGCGAATCCAGCAAGCGCTTCTAAGACCCACTGACCCAAGACCTTCGACAAAGCTGCATGCAAGCTCGGATCCGACCAGCGACAGTTTGTAGTTTCAAGGCTAGGCCTTCAAATCCTTGAGCCCTATGAGGGCCCATAATCCTCACGAGAAAAACCTGCGCACGCGAGCATGAAACACCAGGAGCTTCCATCATCCACAGAGACGTCATCTTACACAGCCCACATTGCATACATCACGACGACTGGCAGTCCTGCCGCCTTGATGGCAAATCAGCCACCGCTGATTTCACAACGGTCAGTTGCGAATGCAAAATCCTGCAGCAGGACTGGCGGTGGATCGTTGGCGTACTGTATTCGGCTCAGGGCTCATAGATTCTTGTGTGTCAGAGTGTAACTCCCTTCCATGTGCGGGCTTTTCTCGGCTCGATCCGCGTTTTGTTGAAGTGTAAGTCCCAGACCCCTCGATGTGAGATGCAATTCCGAGCCAAATCGCGTGCCGTCCAAGTACTAGACTCACTACAGACGTCCCGCAACCACAATGCAGTTCCGGAGTGTGCGGGCTCTTGTTTCGCAAGCGACTGCTCACAGGACTGCCAGCTGCTCAAGGCAAGGAGTCTACGAGGTTTTTGGAGAGGGGCAGTCATGGGTCGAGAGCTTTTCTGAGCCCCAACTCCAAAACTTACGCATGCACTGGAGCCGGGAGTTTCGGGGATGATTCTGCTTCGTTGCCCTTACCGCAGGCAGCGCGGGCGTCAGTCGACCCATTGCCAGTCGGCCAGCGGGCGCTGGCAGCCGGCCTGCGGGCTCTGTCAGCCGGCCTGCGGGCGCTGTCAGCCGGCCCGCTGGCACTGGCAGCCGACCCAATGGCACTGGCAGCCGACCCAACGGCAGCCCTGAGACGGGCAATGGCGCCAGCCCGATCTCCACTGAAACCGGGGAGCAGGCCATGCCCCTTCTGCTGAAGATTTCCCTCACATCTTCAACGTTGACTCCTGCTACAGACGTATTTGCCCCGAGGTTCAGTCCCATCAGGATTCTGTAAGATCAATAGCCTGTGAATGACCATGTCAGGGAACTGAAGAGGAGAGGTTTCCTCATTCTCATGTGCAGTCCTTCGCAGGGGCAGGGTAGTTCAGGTCAACTTCCATCTGCACCCTATAACCGCCTTAACCCCAAATTTACCTATCCAACACGCCGCCAGGGTCGGCGGACTTTACACCCTAAACCCTAAACCCCAAACCCTAAACCCTAAGACCCTAAGAGCCTAAACTTCTTAAACTCCCTAAACCCTAAGACCCTAAGAGCCTAAACTCCCTAAACCCTAAGACCCTAAGAGCCTAAACTCCCAAACCCTATAAGGTCCACAATTTGGTGCAGGTGAACTTGTTGCCACCGAAGCCGCCTCCAAATCCAGAAGATCCAAAGGCCGCCTACATTGACAATCTTCGTACTGTGAATAGTTCCTAAAGGGGACTAGTATGTATCACGGTATTATATATTTTATAGATATGCATATATGTATATATATATATATATATATATATACATCCAATATATATATATATATATATGTGTGTGAAAAATACTGATAATAGTGCTAAGAAAAATGAAGAATACGAAGGTCAATCACAGTATGAACAGGCCGCCTGGTTAGTGCATGGTTGAGAGATTTGCCAGGCTCCACCTCAATCCCTAAACCCTAAACACCCTAAACACCCTAAACACCCTAAACACCCTAAACACCCTAAACACCCTAAACACCCTAAACACCCTAAACACCCTAAACACCCTAAACCCTAAAAAAAGCTTTCGACACGAGCTCCTGCCTTGAGGACAAGGGGTGCGACCCCCTCTCAGTGGAACGGCACTGCACGGATGTTGCAGCCTGGTACCATTTTGGCTTGAGAAATTAATTAGGGGCTTTCAGGGTTTAGGGTTCAGGGAACCTAAGGCGCAGATTTCTTAGGGCGGGCCCCCTCTAGTGATGTCACCCAGAGCCACGTGTTCTACTTCACAAGTGGGGGTTCGGGGTCAGGGGCCCACTGCTGAGAAGAGAGGAAATAGGCACCAGCACGCAACGAAAGATGCCCCCCCAACCTTTTCTGGCATAGGCCGCGAAGTCTTGAAAGACATGGCGAAGCGCGGCGCCATGTTGCGATTCTTCATATGGAGATGAACATTCTCATACATCACGCGTAGCGGTCATAGCTTCACTACGTCACGCCATCCCATACTAAGCCCCAAAGCCCAAATCCATAGCTCTGCGTCCTCCCAGTTGTGGATGGTGCCCTTCCTTGCACTGCTGGTCTTGTCCGGTATGGCGACTGACAAGGCTATCCAGGCCCGCTGCTTGCAGGAAAGCCATCAGAAACCTACATCCTAAACCCCCGGAAACCCCTAAGCCCTACATCCCACCAAACCCTCCATCCTAAACCCGTAGCCCCTCAACTTGACAACTTCGGATGAGAGCATGCTCGCGAGGCATCGAGGTCAATGCTTTAGGGCTCACTCAGTGGTGGGCTCTCATTGTCGGACGTACTTTCTTATTGAAGGGCTTTATAGGAGGCTCAGTCAGCCCGAATGAAAGATTCTCTGAGGGCAAAAGGTTAATTACTGTAAAGACGTGAATGAAGAAAAGACTTACCTTGGGAGTTTTTGTGTCTCCTGGAGCACTGTAGAACGTAGTAGAGTAGTGATTCATGGCACGACTTCAGTGACTTCTCGTACTAGGGATGGGTGCTGTGCATGATGGGTTTGCGTGAGGCTAAGCTCTTCGCCCAAGAAGCTAGGGTGCCTCCTGTGGGGCGCTTGGATGTTTCTAGGGTTTAGGGTTTAGGGTTTAGGGTTTAGGGTTTAGGGTTCTGAATTCTGGCAGGTCGGCAACTGGCATACACTGATGCAAGTGCCGGATTACGAATCGAATGTTTGCGGCGAGGGGGTGCACAAGGCCTCAGAATTCTCCTTTCTCCAGGGGCTTTACGCTTCGTCTTAAGGTTTTTCTCTTTAAGATATTTTGTAGTCTCGGTTGCTGGTCATGGAGCTAATGTTTGAGGTGCTAACTTGAGCGTTTTGTTTGGAACCCGTGCGCACTGAGAATTTTTAAATGTATGGCCAACCCCCGGACGTATTTTTTGACATTTTTTGTGCCTGGGATTGTACGTAAGCCCGGACGAAGGGCGGAAGTGAGCACAGAAAACAGCAAACAGACAACAAAACGCAACTCGTGCTTTTGTGTGCCGTCGCGCGAGTGGGTCATATGTAATCCCATCCCGGGCCGAGGGGGCCGGCAGAAGTAAGTGAGCGGGCGAGTCTCCGCCGGCGACCGCGCAGCAAAAATACGGGCACTCTGTGGCAACCCGTTTCTTTTTCTGTGCGGTTGCGCACTGCGATTATGTCCATCCGACGGTTTGGTTTGCTGTGCGGTCGCCTGCTGGACTCAAGGTAAACCCAACCCGGCCGAGGAGACGGAAGCGAGTGAGTAAGTCCCGGGCCCGCGACCGCAAGCGACCGCACAAAGAACAACCCGCTTGAACCTGCACTGGCGTGATTCTCTTTGCTCTGTGATCGCGTCGCCCTTTCAAGCGCCTTTTCGGACACCTTACAAACACGAGCGACCGCACAGGCAAACATAGCCGCGCTTGACCCTACCGGGCGCGTTTCTTTTTCTGGCTCTGCGGTCGTGTATCGCCTGCTCGGGTGCCTTGACACGAGCGACCGCACAGCAAAAAACACACACAAAACTCACACAGAACGACCGCACAACAAAAACTCACTTCGGCCATGTCGGGTTTAGGCTCAGGGCTTCACAAACCGTAGACCCCTAAACCCCAAACAGATGCAACCAATGTTTTGGTATCAGCTTTGGCTTGGAGCCGGTCTGCCGAAGCTCATGTTGCTCCCGACGTTCTCGGGATTTGGGTTTGGGGGATTGAGGGTTGAGATTATACTAGCAGTCCTTAATCGGGATGATAACAAGGGGGTAAGATAATCCCTATCAACCTGTGTCTGTCCCTGCTGCGCAAGCGCAGGACAAGCCCTTCCTATACTTTTGCATGAAGAAGGAGGCTGAGTGGGTCTTCGACGAAGCTGACAAGAGCTGCACAGCCCAAAAGTAGAGAGGTCCATCATGCAAAGCCGGCGGACTGTGTTTCCTGAAGGTTTGCGGCATGGTTGGCCCTTCAGAGTCGGAAGTCATGTCGGGTCGTTCAAAGCGGGGTTGCAGTTGCAGTTGTCGGGGCTGACCTTAGTCTTAGCAAGGAGCTTGTGAAGCATGCGAGAGCAAAGGCTTGGAGATCAGATATCCTATCTGCAAAGAGAGCTGCCCGCACTCCTTCAACACGTCCAGCCGCTGCTTTGTGGGCCCTGGCGAGGCCAGACTTGAAACATGTGGGTGATTCGGTGATGTTCAATGTTTCCTGAAAAAGGCCCTCCCAAAGCAGCGGGATGCAAAGGAGAAGTCAGGTTTTGGTGTCTGGCGCTGGCAGGAAGTTATTGGACACGACAGCTATTTGACACAAGCCCAGACCTTAACAATCCTT